GGTAGGTTGGGCGGGGACGCGCCCAATGTGGGTAGGTTGGGCGGGGACGCGCCCAATGTGGGTAGGTTGGGCGGGGATCCGCCCAATGTGGGTAGGTTGGGCGGGGATCCCGCCCAATGTGGGTAGGTTGGGCGGGGATCCCGCCCAATGTGGGTAGGTTGGGCGGGGATCCCGCCCAATGTGGGTAGGTTGGGCGGGGATCCCGCCCAATGTGGGTAGGTTGGGCGGGGATCCCGCCCAATGTGGGTAGGTTGGGCGGGGATCCCGCCCAATGTGGGTAGGTTGGGCGGGGATCCCGCCCAATGTGGGTAGGTTGGGCGGGGATCCCGCCCAATGTGGGTAGGTTGGGCGGGGAACGCGCCCAATGTGGGTAGGTTGGGCGGGGAACGCGCCCAATGTGGGTAGGTTGGGCGGGGAACGCGCCCAATGTGGGTAGGTTGGGCGGGGAACACGCCCAATGTTGGTAGTTTGGGAGGGTGCCTATTTTTTTACATTTTTAATTGAAAACGGCAAAACGTGTTCATCCACACAAACTCACACACACACACACTTTGAAGACTTTTTTTACACCGTTTCAAAAGCGTTGCCCTAAATTAACCACTCTGCTACCCAGAAAGGAGGCAACCCATGATATTGGGCTACTTTCGGGGCTTGGTGTTTGGTTGACTTTGGACTGCAAATGTGTTATCTTTTCTGGCCACACTGCCAGCCAGAGACAGGGCCACGTCCAACCACTACACACTACATACATACACACATCATTAATACATACTACACACGTACATACTACATACAGCTCCAAACCTCAGCCCACAGATGGTGACAACTCTAGGGCGCACCAGTTACTACTCCAACCCAGGGACTGGGAACCATAGCCCCAGTCCTGGCGCAGGCATTGCCGGGAGAGATGTCCTCAATGCACTTTTACAGGGGGTGTTGGATATTTGTTCTCCCAGAGTTGAGGGATGTTTAAATCTCCTGACAACGTACTCCTTGGCCATGGCTCCTGAGTCACCTCCCTCTTTTGTGTCTGGCACAGTCTTTGGAGAGGTTTCCTACCCAAAAAGTGTTACATGAATATAATGTAACATAAACATTATTATTTTACTGTAAGGATTATTAGTGCACATTGTTGCTTAGGAAGAGAAGCCAATGTTAAATAGAGCTGGTAGTGCAAGTCAAATCTTCTGAAATACTCATGATGACTTATACCGTAACTCAATGTAACCTCAACTTCTAAGAAAACCTAAAGGGTTGAGCTCCATTTTGACTTTTTTTCAGCAGCATAACTACTGTCTTGTGATTCTCTCTGCTTAAAGAGATTCGTTTCTGCAAAGTATTACTTGGCATCTACCCAAAATGTTCTCAAGACACTATCTGTCAACTTTGGCTTCTGTAGTGCTTTATAATGCCTCTATTTTGGATTCCTCATGTCCTGTTCGCATTTGCCCTATGACATGATTCTCTATTATGTGGAGTCCTGTAGCTCAATGGTTAGAGCACTTGCTTTGCAAGCGAGAGACATGGGTTAGATTCCCACTAGGGTGAAACCTTGGACAAGTTTCCTTACTCCACACACCTGATAATAATCCCTCAAAAAAAATTAGTAAATTGATCACTTCAATCCATGACTGTTTGTGGGACATTGCTGTGCGCAATTGGCTGCCGCATTTCGCCCACAAAAATGCAGTCAATTCACTTTACAATCTATTCTGTGAAGCACTTTGAGACGTCTAGAAGACATGAAAAGTGCTATATCTAATGCAAGGATTATTATTATAATTTTGTCTCAAGTTTCATGTGGTTTGGACATAGAAGAAACATTGTGGATTGTCAGAGAATTGCATGCTTCCATTTTCACTGAATAGTTTAGACTGGAGTTGGTATTTCTTTTTATGGGAAGACAAAGTTGTAGTTTCCTGCTATTGTTCAAAAATAGTTTGTTCACTTACAAGTCTTTGATTGTGTAGTCAAATTAGTATTGTCTATAAGTATATGCGCCTAATACCTTCTGGAATTAGGTAAGCAGGATGTGTCCTTCAGGGAGTGTGCGCATTCCATTCCAATAAACTTTCTGAAATTTCCATGTATAGATGGGATGCACAGGACTCATTATGGTCTGGAAACTCTTAAGCATGGTGATGGTTAGCAATGTTAACAAGACAGAAGCCACGTTCATTGGCTCCCGTCAACATCTTCTATCCCAAGGCTTTGACCTCCTCAACCTCCCTGGCCCATCCCTCAGACTTACCAAACTGATGCACAACCTATGCTTCAGGTTTGACCCACATCTGGTCCCTGAACAGGACCACCTTCTTCCACGTTGCTCGCCTCCTACCATATCCCCAGACTCAGCCGATACACTCGTCCATGCGTTAGTCACCTTGTGACTTGACTTCTCAAATGCCCTCTTTGCCAGTTTCCCCAGCTCCACCATGCACAGGATCCAGCTGATCCAAAACCCCATCACCCACATACTCACCGTACTGAACTCCTTACCCCCATTATACCAGTTCTAGCCAGGCTCCACTGGTTCCCCATCGCCAAACGGATTGATTTCAAGATGCTGCCACGCATTTTCAAATCCCTTCATGTCCTGACACCTCACCTCTCCGACCTGCTTCCCCCCAATCCGCTGCTTCCACTTGACTGGCTCTGGCATTCTGCATGTCCCTTATGCCCTCAATTCACGATTGGTGGCTGCGCTTTCAACCACTACAGCCCAAAACTCTGGAACACTTTTCCTCTATCCCTCCACCTTTCCTCTTCCTTCCCATCTTCAGGTCATGCCTGAAGACCTTCCTCTTCGACCGTGCCTACGGTCACCTCCCCCTCCCACGGTCTCGGCATCGTGCTCCAGCACTGTCAAGCACTCTGAGACCCTACCCTATGTGAGCGGCACTATATAAATGCAAGTTGTTGTTGGTGGGCTCCTGCATGTGTCAGAAACCCAGCCGACCAAAAAAAAAGCAAGTGCTTTAAGTCTCCTTATATATTGGTTGAATATCTTTGTTCCACGTTGGCATGAGGTGTATGAGTAGGGTTATTAAAGAAATATAAGAGTTGCAAAATGGGATTAATAAAAACAGTGACTAAAAAAATGAGAGCTGTAGCAGGGAAGATGGCTTGAATGGTCTCCTTCTGTATAAAAAAAATTATGTTGTGGAATACCATTTACTAAATTTTTCAGTTCACGTCTAGAAATCTGGATTATTTAGATGAAGTGATATCATTTTCCCTTTTATTAAGCTAATACATATAGGTTACATAAAATACACAACAGTAGAACTTCCTCAATTGTAGTGCCAACTTAAATGTGTTGTACTTTGTAATACAAATATACATTGAACAGTGGTAAGAAAATATTCAGTTTAGCATAGAAAATGAGAATATGGATTCCCACAGCTAGTTTAGTGTTCCAAAATATTTGCTTTTTCCAAAATGATGTCAATAATTAATGAGATGTGAGTTAAGCCTCCTCCAAAAAATCTCAAATCATACTTAAATGAAAAAAAGCTGTAAAAATTGATCACAGAATATATATTTTTTTAAAAAAGGGTGCATCTTCCATATATTTGCTGTGAGTGCCATAGGAGACACGTGACCAGTTATACTGAACAGTATCCACACAACATTTTTGAGTAGCAAAGATAGCAATAGGCTTATACAGTATAGTAGGCAAGATAGTGGCTTTCTAATCCAGATGGATGAGACTGTTAAGACCCTTAATATTTCCTTGCTACAAGTATCAGATTGTCCATTGGCAGTAGTTGTGGAGAAACAGTCCATCGAACCCGCTGTTATGAGCAAAGACAGCTACAGTATAAAATAAATGGTAATCTGGAGAAAAAAGGGTGTAAAGTAGGCACAATTTAAGAAAAAAAACTGTCAATAAAGCAGTATCTGAAAAAAAATCATAAATGAATGGCTTAGTCAGAGCTCACAACCTATTAAAAAAATCAGTTTATGATAAAGTCTAGTGAATGCCCTAATACATCTACTGGAAAATACCCGTTTATCTAATCATGAACATTATTTTATAGTGACAATATTCCAGAAGACAATCAGTAATTCAAGGTGGGGCTCAGCTAATAATATTATGCTTAAAATAAATGCAGTCCAAATTAAAATTTCCCAATTGCACACGTGACAATTGCTAATCCTACGTGAATAGCCTCAGACATGGACCTAAACAGTTACCCTGGTGGAAAACACACCCAAAATGAAAGTAATATGTAAACTTGGGGCAATATGTTATAAAAATACCATGAAGGGATTTCAAATTCAACTTAATTGTGAGGTTCAGATGTGGACTATAATCTGTTAAAACTTTGCTCCCATTGTTTCAGATTTCATTCTAAACCTCCGTTAGATTATTACCTTGTGAATCACATTCTAAGGTGCCGATTATTATACATAGCATAGCTATTGATAACTTGGATTTGCTGGTACATTAACATCGCAATCGATTTCAATTTATTTTGCTCTTTTCTTGAAGCCTCTGATTCATAATGGGTTACAATTCCACAGGAGTACACCAACTCCAAACTCAGCCAAGTGGCCATTCTTAATGTGTGATTGAAGATCGAGTCCAGTCAGGTAATGAGGACCATGAACCACGAGGGGAATAAAAATAAAAAACCTGCATTTTGAATCACCTGTGCCTCAAACCTCTTCTCACTTGACTGTTGCAAAATGTGTTTTCCAGCAGGAGTTACTGGTTAGAAATAGGAAGTCTGGTCGAATTTTCCTGGAAACACTGAGGTCAATTCTACCTTTCCCATTTGTCACCACGGCTGAATTAGGCTGACGTAGCACAGACCAGCAAACAAACCTGTAATTTTCCTGTGATGTTTAATTTTAGACTAAACTGAAGTTGACTACACTGAACTTACTAGTTGAACTATCGGTTCAATGAACCGTTGCTCATCGATAAAACCGCTCTACTCTAGACATACTGAATGTTTTTAAGAATGTTTGAATCATTTAAAAATACAATATTTAACATTAAAACATACAAAGTTAAAAAAATTGGATTCTTCTGTGGGATTGGGTATTTTCATGGTACAACAGTTCAAAACTAATCTTTTCCACTTCCTAAGACTACCTAGCAGTATATGCATTTAATAAAAAAAATCTAAAACCATCTGCAATTCATTGGTTATGCACAGATCAACAGCTGCAATGCCCAGCATGAGGTGAAATCGAACAATTCAGGGATGAAGTAACTGGCCTCCCTCCCGCATGATTATTGCCAACATACACAATAATACTTTCGTCCAGCAAGTGGCGCTGTGCTATACAGAATCAGCTGTTTGCAAACCACTGACATGATTGTTTTTTCTGCTTTTAAAAATGTATAAACCAGTGTTACTCCTTTAAACTTTTTTTTGAAAGAGTGACCTGGAAGCGCTGACTGGCAGCTGCGCTACAGTTCAACCCATTATACCAAGTGGTCTGATTTTACAGACCCAAATCACCATGTTAAAGAGGGGTTCTATGATGACTTTGATCTAGGTTGGAGTTCTGATTATTTCCCCGGCGGGATGAACTTCCTTGCCTAGGCCCAGAGAATTTAGGTGCAGGTTCATAAGAGCCAAGTTCTGGGCACCCCAGCTGCTAGAGTCTAACCAGCTAAAACAGTGCAGTCTTCCATTGTAAAGATTCACATTGCTTGTTCATCTTACGACTTTGGTTTGCGTGGTTTACAGGAACTGAGTGGAAAGAATCCCTGCTCCCAGCAATCAGTCTGCTTCTCCAAGTCCTGCTAATGAGTCAAGATGGCTGATCCGTCATCAACAATACCTGTCTCAGGACAGTCTAGTAAACTACCACAGAAGGTGGAACTCAATTCCTATCTGGCCTTGCCACACGTGTCCCTTGGAGTTAACTCAGCCCTAAACAGCCACTTATCTATTCCCCCTGGATCATCGTCACTTTTTGATTAGATGGTTCTAGACATTGGATAAGCACAGGTTTAACCTCACTAGATAGTACTAGGAGCTACGTGGTGAGCAACATAAATTAGCATAAAATATAAGAGTCTACTCTTTGCTACACCCCCTATCTCCGACAGTGGTAGGTGATACGCTCCAGCAGCTGCTTACCTATGCATTCCAATTTGAGCACTACATCTTTTAAAATTAAAGGCAATTAGAACATCCTGTAAGATATGTAGTGAATTTCCATAAGCCAGGGAAATTTTCCCCAAACCAGATTCTTTTTGAAAAAGTAAATATGAGTAAATATTGTTCTCGGTTATCACTTTAAACAAATCTAAACCAAAAAATTCAAAGGGTTATAACTGTTCCATCCTCCTCTACGCCACCTCTGCTGATGGCCAGACTGTGTCTCGCCTCAGCCTTGATAGCACTCAATGTTTTAAGGATATTTCCATTGCTTTCTCTAACTGAACCATTGAGGGCCAGCTCCTTCTGCAGTCGCTGGCTTAGGTTTCCACTGTTTGTTCGAGAAGAGGTGTGAGGTGAAGATGGAAGTGTAACTGGAATGTGCTCTGGCTCACCACAACCCTCAATAATAATGTCAGGTTCCTCATCGCTTTCATCTTCAGGATTATAGTTCTGCACAATGTGGGCAGAAGGTAGACTGTGATGGCTGGCTGTACTGTCATTGGAGTGGCCAGAGCTACCAGACATTCGACTGCTACGTATAACATTGTTCCTCTGGTTCACCGGCTTCACTGTGATAATGAGATTGTGACTGTTGGCAATCATCATGTCAGTCACTTGATCAAGTGTTTTTCCAGTCACCTCAATGCCATTCACTTCTAAGACCTCATCATTAACTGCCAGGAGCCCTGTACTTTCGGCTAAGCCTGTTGGTACTAGGCGTGAGATAAAGATACCAGGAACCTTCTCCAGTCCATGGGGAGTCACCCTCACACTGGTGCCATCTCGAATATAAAATCCTAATGGTTTTTCACACCCATGTTTGTATAATCGGACTCTTCTGTGTGTTTCAGGAAGAATGTCCACATCAATGATGGAAGAAACGGGTCTGAAGTCTTGAGGAATACCAATGCTGATGTGAGATCTTTTACGGAGGGTGTCATTACGTAGTCCCACCAATGGTTTTTTCCTTCGTGTCAGTGAATTTGTGCCGAAGAGACTGTAGTCTACCTCTTCTGAAAAAGTAGTAAAAAAAACATTTAAAAAATGTTCTTCCATTCAATACAAAAAATCAGTAAAGTAGATGAAAAGAAAATCACAAGCATAAAAGTAATTTAGCAATTGTTTTAATATTTAGTATATTGAATGCACTCAGACACTGTAAACTGAAAGAAGTCTTTGAATCCCACCCTAATAATGGACATTTAGTGTGTGGATTTCCAATGCAGGTTAGGACATGCTAGTTTTTGTCTTAAAGCAAAACAAAATGTATTCTACTTACTGTCCGTGAAAGCCACAATTGAGAAGAAATGCAAGACCTTTCCCTATTTTTATATACTTTATCTTTAAGGACAACAACAACAAATTACATTTGTATAGCACCTTTCACGTCAGGAGGATGTCCAACATCGTTAGAGTGCCCCTTCTACCAATCTAGGTACATTCAGTGTGCTAAATATTGAATAGACTGCTGAATTGACTCCAATATTGCATTTGAATATGCTGTATTACACATTAGGAACCTGACCTAAGGCGATACTTTTATTGCATAATGTCCCATCTTATAATCTACTCTGACTGGAACCAGATGAGTTACAGCACTGACTTACAGTAGTTGGTCCCAGTAGATGAGCTAGCATCACCTTTGGCTTGGACAAGCTATAGTAAAATTAAAATTTTCAAGTTTAAAAGATTTGTCTGATCCACTCGATGTTAAGGTTTTAAACATTGTAAAGAGCTGCTGGGAGTGAATTCAGTTAAGATCAACTAAAATTAAAAATCTGTAGAGCTGCCAGCCCCATTGCTCAATTCGCAGGATCACACTGATGCCTACAGCACAACAGTGGCATTAATCCACCCACATGCCTTCATTTTTAGGAGAAAATTCAAACACCAGCAAAAATTTCCAACTACAAATTTTCGTTACAATAAACTATTCATACTTCTCTAGGTTAAAATACATCTTAAACCACAAAATTGTGGCCCATTGCATGTCGCTTGTTCTGAGGTTTTCCTTTTAAACACATACATACACCACTGGAAACCACCGAAAAGGTATGATTCCAATTTAAATTTGAAAATAATAATATACTTTCCATTTACTTCCTGATTGAAAGTGCTCAGTCTGATAAATACACAAGATTAGAGATTACCGGAACCCGGAAAATAGCGTTTATGCAAGTCATTTGCAGTGGAAAAAACATTTGGATAAAAAACGTCATTCATCAGAATTATCAGAAATTCTGCAAGAGTTGGCGGTTTAGGAAATAAAATCGTTTGTGTGTGTGTGTGGGGAGGGGGGGATAAGCAGATAAGGGTGGCCTTCAGAAGGTAGCAGGGGTGTTTGGGAGAGAAGTTATGACCCTGAGAAACTGAAGTGGCAAAGCAGTGATGAGGAAAGGGAGAATGGGATCTCATGGTGAAAGACTAGTTGGTTATGTAGGAAACTACAGATGATACTAAAGTATCAGCAGATTAGTTTTAAACCAGGAAGAAATGGAGGCAATAAGCGCCTTCCTCACCCCATTATATATTGTTCCGATTTATTAGTCAGTAATATTTCCAAAGTCATAACATTATCATAGATTAGAATGTAGCTTTAAAGCAGTCAATTTATAATTTATATATTGTTTCAATGATTCAGTGGCAAATTCAATGACTTAGGTTGAAGCTCTGGTCGGAATCCAGATTTACTACATTTACAATATTTGAAACAACGTGTTGATTATACAAAACAGGCAATATTTTAAAACACTCCTTGCTTTTCATTTGACAATTTTCAATAAAAACAGGATAGTGTGTTGAAACAAATTTATTTTCCCAGTTGCTTTCTGAGATTTGTTCATATAAAAAAAATCCATAGGCTATTTCTTAATTATGGAAAACAAATTCTACAACTCCACCAGCTCCACATGTGGTTAATACACAGATGGTCGGTACAGGGCTGTTTGGCAGAAATAACATTACTTGGGCAGATAAGATTAAACAAACAAGCTGAATTCCACAGTGGTGCAAACTCATAGGATTGCATGAGATTCCACTTCATCACTTGCTCTCTACTGTTTTGACTGACTCAATCCTCTGGGAATAGTGGAGTTAATCAACAGCACTTGAATACACTTCAAAGCAGAATTACTTCCACCTTAAGATTGGCTGCTAATGCAGCTAAGGAATTATTGGATTATTTGGGAAGTTTTCACTCTGGAAAAGGGAGGAAAACAAACACACAAAATTGTTTTCCTCCATTTTAGGCTAATCATTTGCGACATAATTGCATTGGGATAAACTTTCGGCAGCATAAGTCTGTTGGAACCTTTGAAACTTAAGCAATACTAACAGTTTAATATTTTGCAGGGGCAAAAATAAACTAAAAAACCTTTCCCAACATTGCCAGCTCAAACACATTAAGGTACAACATACAAATTATAACCATATGCCAGTAACTGGGATAGGTTGCCACCTTGTACAAAGCTGTAAAATCTTACTGGAGCTTTGAAGTATTTATCCTCCCAACAATTTATTTTTAAATCTGCCCTTTTAATCTTGAATGTGAAGGTTAAGTCCCTTTAGCCAATTCTAGTTTCCACTCTTATCGCTCCAATTCCCAAGGGAACTGTATCACTCTCTTTCCCCACCCGATCCAATGTACTCACTGTTGAAAAAGGAATTTTATTGAAGTATCCTTAATAATATACATATATATATATTTTAAATCTTCCTCTACTCTCCTGAAGGCAGTGTTTTGACTAAATCAAAGGGAATGAAATTGGAACCTGAGACTTCTGCAGATCAATATTTCACCATACAACACATTTATCCACAGGCACGTGGAGTGTTAACACCAGCACATATGATTGGGCTGAATGGCCTGTTTCTGTGCTGTACAGTCTATGTAAATCTACGTCAGAAGGCAGTGTAGACCACCCCAGCAAAGCTCAATCTGGTCTCATATGATGTCTGCACATAATAATAATCCTTGCATTTGATGTAGCGCCTTATCACGTCTTTGAGTCATCTCAAAGCGCTTCACAGAATATACTGTGAAGTGAATTGACTGTATATTTTGTGGGTGAAACGCGGCAGCCAAATGCGCACAGCAGTGTCCCAAAGTGTTGTGGATTGAAGTGACCAATTTTTTTAAAAGAATTATTACCCCCGGAAAAGCAATGCTCCAATTGACTAAAAACCGGGTTCCTGCTTACTGCTAGGTAAACGGAGCCGTGTGGAGTAAGGAAACTTGGCCAAATTTTCGCCCTGCTGGAATTGAAACCAGGTCCTCTCGCTTGCTCTAACCACTGAGCTACAGGACTCCGTGTGTATACTTTCAGCTTAGATCACAAGATAGCTTCTACGCATGGGAAACCTTAGATATTTCACTTTTCTAAGCTGAGGGTGACTGTACGACCACCTTCCATCAACCCAGCTGAGATTGGCCAGCTCAGGAAACAATGCAGCTCTATATAGTTCAGCAAAGGTACAGTGCATTTACCAACTCAGCCACAATGGGAGCTCCTAAAATAACATTGTTTTGAACACAGATTGAATTATAACTATGCCCTGTCCTTTCTGAGATTGACGAGCTTAAAATAGTGTAATAGCATTTTATTAATTTTTATATCAATTACGGGGTACAGATTGAATATATTTTTCAATGAATCAGTTGCAAAGTGTATTCATACACGGAACACACTTTTTTCTAGCTCCATTCAGTCCCCAGAACACTTGGTAGATGTTAGTCATTTAATTCAGTGCCAGTATGCATCTCTAGCTCTAAGACAAACTGGCACTTCAAATACATTTTTGATAACCCAGCAGTTTGGGGATGAACTGAAGTGAGTAAGTGTTTATTACTTGCTGCATGGCCAAATGCCAGCGTAGATAACATCTACAATTGAGAACATTAGGAAGCTAGAAATTTAGGCCAGTTCCATTTTGGGGGCTAGATCTATGCTCAATTTGTAATTTTAATTCTGAGCAGGATATTTGAGGTGGAAACAAAATCTGGAGCAAGAAGCCAACTCACAATAAAAACATGCGAGGTACAAAATTACCACGGAAGGGTGTACATCAACTAAACTCTAACAGCGTTAACATAGTCAAAACTGAAAAGTACAGATGTAAGATCAGTAGAGAGAAGGTAATCAGAAGATTAGATTTAATTACTTATATACTGCATAGAAAGAATTATCGAGGGAGAGAGTGGAGGCAGATGTGCCATCAAACTCAAGAGGGATTTAGATAGCTACTTGAGGAAGAAATCAATTGATGGTATGAGAAATTAGACATTATTAAACTTTAGCCAGATGAAGCACTATTTTTCTGTTCCCAAGAAATTTATAATTTTGCGTAACATTGTTTTTAAACAGAAAATGGTAAGTCTTTGAATAGAGAATCTGTTATTCATCTATTTGAAATACTAACAGAAAGTCTTCTGAGAAAGTGGGGTGAGGGAGGGGGGGGGGGGGGGGGCGGGAGTGGGGGAAATAGACAGAAAGAGAGGGAAGGGAATACATACGAATCATCAAATTGTAATCATTTTCAACTATGTGTACCCATTCTGTTGATCATTTTACATGGTACACTGTCGAACAAAACAGGGTGTAGTGAACATTCAGGGAGCTGCTATTAAAGGCTTTGTGCTTTAATCTTCTTTCTTTAAAAGAGACAACATATCAGTGCCCTCTTCCTTTTACCCTAAAGAAAAGCTTTTTAATCAATATTTATCATTTTCATTTCTTCCTACATGGAAAATTTTACATTACTAATAAGTTTCTATCCAAAAACATGTTTTATATTACACTTTTATCTCACAGCAGAGTCAGTTTTTTAACCCTTTTCACTATACATTTTCATCTCTGGTGAAAGCTGATCAATAAACTATTTTCTTAAAAAAACCCTGAATTTTCCAACTTTTTTGGCTTCCAGGAAACACACATCCCAAGCCTGTTAATTGATGCGCACATTTTGCCTTACAGGTGATTGTGCAGATGATCTGAGAGCAGCAGTATGGATCTAA